TGTGTGTGTGTGTGTGTGTGTGGCCTTGTTCTTACTACTTGGTGGGGAGGATTTTTCAGGAAAATGCAGCTTTGTGGGGACCGGATGCTCCTTGTGGGGGACCAAAGCCCATCTCCACAACTTCAGAAGCTGATGTTGGGTGGGGGTGGGGAAGTGGGGGGTAGGTTTAGGACCAAGGTGTGGTGGGTACCTGTGAGGTTAGCCTTAGGGTAAATGGTCAGGGTTAGGACATAAAATAAAATAAAAATGAATGGAAGTCAATGGAAAGTCCCCACAAGKATAAAGAGACATAGTAGGTGTGTGTGTGTTTGTGCTTAGCTTTCTCTTCCAGTAAGGAATGACTCATACTTAGCCATTATAAAGATTAACATGCTTCACAAGCAAAGTTTAAATGCTGTCTGCAGAAAAAAAATCCYTTCATTTTGAGGTCCAGGTCAGTTTGTAACRGTTCAAAGTTGCAGAGTTATGAAAAAGATAACAATAAATACCTCACCGGTACAGGAACTCCACCTCAAACATTTAACTTTAAATAYAGTTCTCTTTACGGTGATTTTTTTTCTTTGGACCCCACTTTTTAAAAAAAAAATTCAGGTGAAAGGATACAAAATATTCTCTGAGTTTGTGATGTCATATAGCACTGATGGGCAACAGTTTGCTAGTAATTAGAGCCCTGTTTTCCTGTCATTAATGGCAGTCTTTGATAAAACACCCAATGATCTGTGCAATAAAGAGTGTCTGGCTCTGGTTGATGTTTCTACCTGGGAGATGCAGAGTGATGAAGTGTCTTCCAGCCTGTCTGAGGTCCCTCTGACCTAAAATGAAGCTTCATARTAATGAGATGCAGATATTACACTAAAAACTCGACACAGATATGAAAGCAGATCACGGCTCCTTTGTGCTTATCTTCATTTTCGAACGCTTATCTATCGGGCTGTGGAGGGAACGCGTCCAGTAGAAAAACAGACATCCACCTCCTTTCCCTAGTGACACTGTCCAGCACCTCCTGAGGTTTTGCCAAACCAGAGGGGATACACAGAATTCCCAGTAGGACATGCCCTGAAAATATCGAAAGAGAGTACCCAGATGCCTTAACCACCTCAACTTGACTCGTTTCGATAAGGAGGAGCAGCRGTTCTTTTCTGAGCTCCTCCCAGAAATTACTCTTGAACATACTGGTCTACTAATTCTTGGAGTGTGTACTGGGGATGACTCTCATCTACTACACCAATTCTTCCTTCAATATCTATAAAACAGACAAAATTAGAGCCATCTTCTCTTGACCAAGGTAACTAATCTGTATTGTCTGATTTATTGTAAATACTTTCAAATAAAACCCATCTAACTCAACCAGACCATGCTCGTCACACTGATAAGTTTCTCCTGGTTCAATGTGAAAACAGGCCAATTAACTAATTTTTTGTAGACCTAATTGGTTTGTTTCTGCGTGTGTGCTTTCCCCCCTTGTTTGTCCAATTTCAGAGGTTGTTGTTCGATGATTCAAATTCAACCTCAGTAAGGCTCAACAGTGAACCAATGCCCAAAACAAAGTAAAGTTATTTTGCTTCTGACTCTGTTTTTCTGGATGTAAAGGCGCTCAGAGCAACGAGTACAATTAGATGCAAAAGTTGGCTCGTGCTGCTCTTTAACATAAGATCTTGGTTTGGACCGGAGCCTGGAGGATCCATTGGCCTTCTCTTCCAGCACACGTCCTGATTCATCTGACCACACACATACACACACAGATGTGCTCTCCTACACACAGACACACACACAAACGTATGCCAGTGTGACTGTCTGGAGGCAGAGACAGACGGGAGGTGTGGGAATGCTAAAAAATTGGGGCAGAAGAGGGGGGCGCAGAGGGAGGAGAGTTCGAAAGTAGCAACTCTGGGGCAAAACGTGCCACATGCTACAGGAAGGAATGCTGTGTGTTCTTCGAAGAGTAAATGAAAAGAAGAAAGAAGGAGGAGGAGGGAGGACACAGTGGGAGGGATCTCTGCAGAGGCTGCAGCGTGGCGGCTGGTCTAAATGAAAGAACCCCTCAGACTCTTTCAGTCCCTGCTGTCTGTCTATTTGCCTGTCTTTCTGCCTGCCCATCTGCCTGCCTAGCTTGTGCCTATTTCAGCTGAGGGAGCACGTCCAGAGCAAACACAGGAAGAGTCTCAAGGTGACTTCAGCCTGGAAGTAAATATTTTTCACAAACCCTGGATGAAGGTGGAATATTTTAATGTTCAAATACCCCTTAAAGGTTTGTCTCCTTTTTGAAGGTTCTGCTTGAATTTATGGTTTTAGTGTGAAAGAAAAGATCCTGTTCTGAACTGACCTCTTCCTTTCTTCCTGTTGTGATCCACAGGTGTTTTTGCTCATGGAGACAGAAGCAGGACGGAGCTRCGTTGTGTCCCTCTGATCCGGAGAAGTCCCTGCATCTGAATTCTGTTTTATCTGTGCACACACAGTGTTACGTATGAGGGCGGTGTGTGTGGGTGGATGATGTAACCCAACCTGAGCACTCTGAATGTCTCTGGTCGACTTGCAGGCAGGTGTGATGCTGGGGAAGTGTGTTTAAACACACACATCTACGCTTGGAGATACAACCGGGGTTGTGTACATTTAAATGTCAGAAAGACTGCTTGAAAAGTCACTTGACTTTTTTTCTTTTAAAAAACCTTGTGTTCGTTGTTCACAATTTGAGATTTGCAACTAGGCATAGAGATTCAAACACATCCAGAGGCATATTTCAAAGAAAATAATATTTCTTAAGGGCTTGAATGGATATATTTGTATATCTGCAAAGGACATATTTATAAATAATGCTAATTTTATAGCACAATGTATGCAGAAGTTCTCAATTAAAAAAATGTGTGGAAATAGGAAAAAAACTGAAAAAAGTGTTGCTGAATCTCTCAATTGTTAAACATAACCTTAAATAGGAAATTAAAATGTGAATGTTACATTTGTGTTTCATAGATCCTGTTGGAGAATCGAGAAAATTTCCCCTCAAGCTGATTTTATTTTATTTTTGGTCCAAACGACGGACGTCTCTTGAAGCCAGAGACAGCTTATTTACATCATGACTCTACAGACCAGTGTTCTGGTCTCCCGGTACACCTCGTGGTCTATTCTTTCTTCCAAACTACTTCCACTGGTCCCGCTGTTGCTCCTCCAGACCAGATGGGGGTGCTGTCACCCACAATGTTTGGATTACAAGCCTCCATTTGGGCCTCAGCAGCCACTGGTCTTCTGTAAAGAGTACACCAAGTTTGGATGTTGTGATCTAAATAAAGATGCAGAAATATCCACAAGGTTTTACAAGATCATGGACAACTTTGACCACTCTGGTTTTACAACATGTGGGAAATACATCCGCACCATCCTCTGCCAGGTGAGATAATAACCTTTGCTGCCTCTTGGTTGTCATTTCACAAGCACAACTGTTTCTTTTGCATCACATTTGATAAGTCAGCATTTGTGACTGTTTTATGAAATGTAGAGAAGCTGAAAGGTCAAAGGGCTCTGATGTCCAGTCAGTAGGGCTTCTCTTTATATTCAGTAAAATTAATTTCAGATAACTGATGCATTGTGTACATATTTTAACTTGTAAATATTTCTGCATTAATCAGTTTTGATGTACAGTTTATCACAAAAGCATGGGTACGTACGGATTGTCTGTAATTTACACAGATTTTCCATCATTTTACAGGTATACGGACATTTAGAGCAATCTCACAGATTTTTGTCAAGTTTTACGGATTTTTTCAAAAACTCAGTTTCAAATTTATTTTTACACTTCATAGCCTGTAGGCTGTTAAAAAAAATAAATAACATCAAATAACCATGCCCAATCTGTTGCTAGAAACAAGTTCTCCACTTAACCATCTCCGCAGCCGACAGTCTGTCTGCACCTCCATTCTTCCTATTGAAAAATGTTATACAGGTATATGAAATTATTATTGTAGAAATGCTAATTACCTTTTACAAATGACATAATATAGCATTTTGAACATGCAAAACCTAAAGGATAAAAAAGACACATTCTAGCATCTATTTCTTATGTCTTACTCCCCAACAACTTTTTTATTTATTATTTCTTAGAGACACATTCTATTATCACAGTCCAAAAAATCAGTTAAAAAAACAAAAAAACAAAACCCTCCTTCAATTAATTGACCTTATAATAAGAAGCAAATGCAGAAGAAGATAAGAGAGTCAACAATCTCGCTCTTTCCACACCAAAATCAAAGATTACTGAAAATTTTAACTTAATTTTCTTGGCTYGAAAGTTGACTAACTGTTATGAGTAGAATGCATCAAATCCACTGACAAACAAAGAAACTATAAAACTTTTTCCATTAAARGTTTYACCTTGGGGRCCGGATAAMATGCTAACACGGGCCARATTTGGCCCGGGGGCCTTGAGTTTGGCACATGTCTTAGACAGAAACACATTGCATTTATTTGTATTATWACATGGTGGTGTTTTAGTCCATGTCTGTGTGTGTCCACATATGGTCTGTGTTAGCARAATATCTCGTGAATCAGTGGAAAGATTTCAGTTAAACTCTYAGAAGCTACTTKTGGAAGTTTTCRTGATGGGCGCCTCAGTTGTTTGAAGATAGCAACATYAAAAATAACTCAGTCAGTTTAACAAATATTGAACTAAGATTTGGTGTGGTAGTAGCTGAGAGTCATATTTGACACATATAAGTGCTTCTCATTGCTTTAAACCTTCATATCAAACATCAAATGAACTTGCCTGAAACTGTGTTGGTTATATTTGGTCCATCTCCTGGGATAAAATTCATCTTGATTAATTTAGTATAATTTGGAAAGGTGTTTAAAACTCTCTCTGTTTATGGCGTTTTGCATTTGYTTTTAACTTTTACAACTCACACAGAAACAGCCTGGAAGTTCTCTCTAAGTTTAGAAGATGTGGTAATCTGAAAATTACTACAGTTTGGAAAATTACCCCATTTAAAAAAAGATTTTTTTTCCCTGTTTCCGCGTGTTTTAGTTTCTTTTTTTGAACTTCTTTAATCTTAAGCAGATCCCCACACCGAACCTCTGCATCACTGGAATGAGCCTTGAAGTCAGTCCCACTCACTGATTACATAATTATGTTGCTGACTTTGCAGCCCCGGCGCTGACTATGTGCAGCATGTGAGCGCAAATTGAATTGTAGGTGCGGCACAAATTTGGCTTGGTCCGTGAAGTCAGGGTAAAATCTGCAGGAGCAGAATTGCACAGACTCATTACTAGACCATAAATACTTTGAAATAACAGCAACAATGCTTGTCAGTTTTAAGGCAAACACATACCAAAAAAAAAAAAAAGGTTTAATAAATCATATTCTCTGTAAAAAGATGGTGACAAATCACTGAATTTTAAAATATAGGTTATGTCACTGTGGTAATTATAGGYTTTGGCGGTTGTTTCGATGCTGTGCAGTTTTGAGTGTAATAATAGTGCTGCAGTATCGCTGCTTTTAGTGAAGTTTGACTGCTGGCTGACTTTGTATCAATGTAAATATGTGAGGCTGACAAATAGTTTAGTTTTTATTATTACATGCAGACAAAATATTGGGATAAATATCTCTTATGCAGAGAAAAAAAATCTTTAACAAATTCCTTAAGAGCAAAAAAGTAGGTGTTTTGATGGACAAATTTTCCATTTTTCCTTTAGCACTTAGAGCATGTTTTGGGGATATTTCCAGCTAATACCAGCCCAAAATCCAGCTCAATATCTGTGAAGTTGGTTGAATTATAATAATTTTTCTGTTATATTAGATAAGTTTACTGTGGCAGCCATCTTGAAAAGATGTATATCTAATGTCCATTTCCTGGAAAGTTAAATATAGTAAAGTGGCTAATGAGATATTTTGTTAACAGACAAATAAACCACCCAAACAAGGGCAACCCCCCCACCACCACTACATTAGCTTTTTTTGCAGTAAGATTTATCATAATAAATATGTTTATTTTTAAAGTTATTCATCCACACAAAGAAGTTGCTAAAAATGACTTTTGACTAACAAACTCTCTGGCACCAGCGGTTTCCTGCTTTGAGTTTAGAGGTTTGATATAAAATAAACGAGGAACTGAAGGTAGTCAGGTTACGCTGGCTAAACTTATCACACAGAAGCCATTCTTTGTAGTGGGTTCACTCCGGGAGCTTTCTGGCTCTGATATCAATCACAATATGTGTTATGGAGTCAAAAACAACAAGAAAGAGACAGAGTGGGAAATGAGTGTGTGTTTGTCAAAGAAACGAGTGGGAAATGAGTGTGTGTTTGTCAAAGAAACAGAAGAGAGACTGTCACCATCCTCAAACCTGACTAACCAAACAAACAACAATTTCCGCCTCTGGCCACAGGGGTGAGGGTACAGTCCTGCAGGTTGACAGAGGTTAGCTAAGAAAGACATAGAGAAAGCAGTAATTATTAACTTTGAGCATTAATTTAAAAACAATTACAATGCAACTTACAAAAAAAAACACACTTTATGAAAAAGAAACTAAAATGAGACCATATGTTTAGTGAAGCAGTTTCATTTATATATGTTGTTGGTCTAAATGGAAATATGAGAATAGTTTGTTTTTCTTTTTTTCTGGGGAACAATGAAATAAATTTCTGGTACTTTCCACCACTATCAATCTACAAGTTTGTGTGACTTCTCCATCATCCAGGACATGACAAACCCTGGGAGTTTCAAAGACTTTCTGTTGCGTTGTTTTAAAAAAAAATCTTAGGATATCTAACTCCCATTGCCCAGACTTGTAGATTAGTAATAAAAAAGGAAATGTGGATATATCAGAATGAGAAATCATATAGGAGGTGTGTCTATTGCCCTTTTCTTTGTGTGTGTAATCAATTCAACTACACAAGTGGAATTTCATCAAAGAAAACCATAAAATATAAAGGTTCTGATAACAAAAAGATCATTTTTGATTAAGCTTAACTCTTAAGTCTTAGTGTCAGAAGAAAAATGCAAACATACAATAAAAAAAATCCTAGAACAATTAAACCTAAATGTTTAATATTCTTGTGGGCATTGTTTGTTGATATCTGTTTGCCTGAACTGCCTCTATTGCAGCTATAAAACACAGACTTCTGGATCCATGAGTGCAGCATAAGAGWTTAGAAAGACAGATGAAAACAGTAAATTACAGTTGTCTGGAATGACTCTATTGTTAGAGAGCAGCTGGTTGTAGTCACAAGCATTTATGCAACTCTATGATGAAAGGACTTGGAAGTAAATTGTCTGAACAATGCTTACTTAGACAGCAGCAGAGGATTGAATTAAAGATGAAACTGTGGATTACAGTAACTTTGGATCAACATCTCCCACTTTCTCCCAAAAGTCGTATCCTGCTTCAWAACGGAGTTTCTTGCTGCATGTTGCTGAGGCTAAATCAGAAAGTAGTTTAATCAGAAAAACTTTCATCTGATCAAAACATTTCCATGTGCTGCCACCAGCGCAAAGCCTCAGATGTGATGTTTCTACTAAAATGCCAAATGAAGCATTGCCATTATATTAGAAAAAGTGAATAGCTTTTTTCAATTCTCTTTTTTATTTTACTAACATCTATGAATATACAGTGTCAAAAAACAATAAACAGCTCCTAATGCAAAAAAGAGACTAATTTACATTAAAGTGGCTAACAATTTCACTTCAATGTTACCTCAAATGATGTATCAAGTACTGTTCATGTCAATATTTTTGAAAAAATCAACTTTTTCGGCAGCGTTTGCAATTGTCCACATATAAACTGTGTTTTGGTTATAAAAAAACACTTCTCAACGAGAAGTTTTTACAAAGCATATTTTCCATTCATGTATTCAACTTTAAAGGAGACAGTGACATTGCAGCACACTGCCACCTACTGGCCTGCAGGATTGGACTTTCTTCTGGACAATTCTTTTACCGTTTATTATTTTTATTTTTTCAAATGAAGACCAAACTAATTATTACTTTAATGAACAAATGTTTTAATGTAATTTGTGGGGGGACTTCAAAACTATGCTGGGGTCAATTTGACAGGCTCCCCATCCTCAAAGAATTGTGTCGAGCTTGTTTTCAATGTGGGTCGTATTCTGCCTAGTCTCTAGTCCTGTTCATAGTGGTCATGAACAGGATGCCAAGGTGCAGTGATGCCTTTATTTAAACCACCAACATTAAAAAAGGGTGGGCAAAGCATCTTTAATGATTCTTGAATGGGTGTTCTTAAATATAATTTCATTGTGCTCTGTACAATGACAATAAAGTCATCRTCAATCAACCAATCTTTACATWCTSTCTTTGTTTAGAATCCAAGCTAAAATGTYTGAYTTTTGAGAGCTGAAATGTTATATTTATGCTACCAGATTCTGTCCTGTTTTCCTAATATTGACAATTAGGATTATGGGACATTACGACTGATGCAAAAGTCCCATCTACACATCCTTCCTACTCACTGACAGGCTGTTACTTTGTCAATCACAGTATAATACAACACTTTTCTTTCAGCCTCAAACAACTAACTGAAGCTAAACATAAAAAAATGCATATTTGAACATATAAGTTAAGAACTAAATGAATCAATACAACACACTGAAAAATGTTAAATGAAGTTTATTTTTATTTTAAATCAGGTAATTGTCCCACTTGTTTACATGGAGGTGCTCATCCATTGTGGCTTCAACTTCCAGCTTTTGGTCCTGTCATATATTAAACTTGTTCTTTCTGGCTCTCTAGTTTGTTCCACAACCCACATATGTGATGTGTTCTTGTCTAGATTTGGTCTCTTACTTCCAGGAAGAAACACCATTGTGTGAGTGCTTGGGTAATTTGCTGTTTGATGTTTTTTTTTTTTTTTTGGCTCTGCCCCCATGATGGACCCACAGTCAGTGAAACTGCCCATGCTGACCTCATGATGGTTTGGGTGTTGTGCTTCCTTCTGCCTAAAGCTCTCCATTCTGGGTGTGGACAGTGTGGTTGACATTTAATAACGGAGTGGACCTGTTTTGGATCCATTTTTACTTAGCGGTATATAATYCTGGCCTGACTGGTTAAATAGTGAGGAGCCGTGTACGTATTCGTTTACAAATCATTCTGTTTATGTGATTCATTCATTGTCTCCAATCTACACAAATCAGTATCTGATACCCAAAGTTAGATTGAACAAAATATATATAAACACAACAAAGATAAYGTCTCTAGATGCCTGTATTTTAYTTTATTTTTTGTATCGTTCCAGGAATGTTCTCCATATGCCGCCCACCTGTATGATGCTGAAGATGCCAACACACCTATGAGGGTTCTGCCTGGTCTGTGTCGAGATTACTGCTCRGACTACTGGCGGGAGTGTCGATACACACTCAGCCTCCTCCTGGAGGACTTGGGGAACCCACAGCAGTTTGCTAACKTGACTTCTGCATTAGAAGAAGATCACAAAAGGTTTTGTGATTTTCTGGAGCTTAAGGACAAACAGTACTGCTACCCCAATGTCTTGACGGATGCAGGTATGGGTTCAAAACAAAACCTGTAAAAAACAATCAAATCAGACAAAAAAAAACCTTTAATGGCCCTTTGACTGTCAGTATATCTACCCCCGAAATTAGACATAACAGCAGTCTGAGCTACATGTTAATGCTAATATAAAAAAGCTAAGACATTTTATATCGACTACCTAATGTAGGTTGATAAGTTCAGTCAGTWGGAAACCACGTGAATACAAATACAACTTTCTTTTCCCATTTTGTTGATACAATCAAAATGATTTATTAAAGGGATCCATGATTAGTTGTAACATTAGACTTTGTTAGATAAACATTTATTTGAACTGTAAAATAAAGACTGTAAAAATACTGT